ATCGTGGCGGGGAAAGATTGCTGTTGGGTGGGTCTCTCAGCTCAGAGTCTCGTCAGCAGTTCGGAATAAAGCTAAGGAATTGCTTCTCTCATGCGTTTTGAATCTTGGTAATTTATCGTAAAATCCCCTCCTCTTCCGTAACCAGTTAGAGGGCTTAAATAACTCAAAATGTCGAACCAAAGCCCTCAAGCGCCGAGTAGCTCGGCTCCAACATTCGTCCTCCATACGCCGGCCGTAGACTTCATGGAGAATAGAATGTCTGAGTACCACCCCGCATTCGACACAAGCGGCTTCCGGTACAGCCCTACGCAGAGCCTCTTTGTTCCCCTCACGAACCAAACGACTGTTATGCATGTTCCCGGCACGTCGACCCTGGCGCTTCCACCCACTGGTTCCGCAGCTCCCCGGCCCCGGCCCGTCCCCGGCTCTATCAATGACATGGGATTCTGGGCTGAGGTACTTCCCCAAGCAATGGAAAAGCTGAACCAGAAACCGCTGCCATACAGCGGTCCATATCAGCCGCAATGGGGTATTCGGCACCTCTCCGTGTGGCCCGATGTTCAAGCGAAACTCGATATGGCACGGAAGGATTATGATTTTCATAATAGCCAGGAGCATGTAGGCAAGTTTAGGAGAAAGTTACGCCTCGTTGCGGACAAGACAGCTGTTCCCCTTAAGCAGGGGATGAAGTTGATTCCCGATATCGATGTGGCGTCGCCTGTAATAGGCGTAATCGGTCTCTTGCTTGATGTAAGTTATTATACTGAAATATACATGGCTTTGCGGAGTTGACTCGGAATAAAGGCATACCGCCAGGCGGCTGAGGTTCGCGAGACGGTTAACACGGGGTTTGATGACTTGCCGGAGGTTTTTGCAAAAATAGACTTTTACTTCAAGTCATATCCTGACGACAGGAATATATCGATAATCTGTGTTGACCTTGTCCTTACTATTTTCAGGGCGATCGAAGAGGCCGTGATATTTTACACAAGTGCCCAAGGTAAGTGAACTATTAATAAGCCACGATACCGGCTAAACCGACTGAGGGATCTAACTTCACAACCTACAGCTAAACGTGCTGGTCGCGTGATCCTCACCGGTGAGGAATATCAGCAGAAACTACTACAGTGCCTTAGGGAGATAAGAGTATGCTCCGATAGATTGGAGGAACAAGCGCGCATGTCGTTTACTCATCGCATAATATCAGGTATGTGCGAGGTTTCACTGGACCACAAGGCTTACGTGGTCTAGCGACCAATGGTTTCGTTGGATTTTCGCCCTTAGATCTATCCCTCCCTTGCTTTACTAGATACTATTTAAAGTTGTGTTTTTCGTTGCGCGGGGTGAGTTTTGTTTCACTTTTCTATTTAGACGTCACTTCTATCAGTGTCCTGATAAGCTGAACGAAAAAGTCTATGCAAAGTGCTTGCTTGTAACCGAGTTAGGGCGCGGTCTCTTTGTGTAGGTCCAAGTAGCTGATTAGGTCTCTCAGAGAGCGACGAAGCACGCAAATCACATACAACCATAATACAAGACAATTGGGCGACTCACCAAGCCCTCGGTGCTATCCTCCAGGGGCAGCTAGTCGGGAGGGCCGAAGTAGCCTGGCTAGGGGGGCTGCTAAACCGATTCTTGGGCTTCCTGGAAGACAAAGAGAGTATGTTACTCTACCTCAACACATAGGTACCAGTCTTTATTATCAGAATCCTCATCACGTCGAATAGGAAATTGGCCGCCTGGCACCCCTATCTCCTCCCGTCCGGCTACCCCAGCACACCTCCTCATGCCTGACTACGGTCCCCCTCCCTGGGTACCACGCGAGCTGTGGCCACTTCTTCATATTCCTCACCTTGACGAAATCGACCTCCAATATGTATTACGAAACGTCGGCGAGCTCATCCTTGAGGATCGTGGCCGCGCCGAACAGGCTCTCTCCGCCCCAGAATTTCGCTCCTGGATTGCCAGCCCCAGGTCATCCAAACTCCTCGTTCACGGCGACTTTGACAACACGACGGCTGCAAGTCGGAATGTGTCGCCCTTTTCGGTGCTGTGTGCTACTATGGTCAAGGGTTTACGAGTGTCAGCAGCGGAGCGAAACGCTATTAGTCTAGTCTTTTTCTGTGGGCTTCACATTGCGCGCGACGAGTATCGCGGTGGCGGGGCAATGATACGGTCGCTCATAGCGCAGTTACTGAGGCAGTTTCCCGCGGCGAGCATTCAGCCAGATCCCAGGGTCGTGATGCAGGAAGTGGAGAGAGGAAATATCAAGCAGTTGTGTATGCTATTTCTGCACCTGGTGCGGCAACTGCCGGCCGCGATGACGGTATTTTGCTTCATCGATGGCATTAATGAGTACGAGAGTGAGGAATACCTGCATACCATAGATGAGGTCATCTTTGCGTTGATTGAGTTGGTGGATGAGAGTTCCACTTCCTGGAGGGCCAAGTTCAAATTATTGCTTCTGAGTCCGCGGCCAACGAACGAAGTCAGGAAGGTGTTTGACGAAGAACAGGGGGCGTTATTACATATGGCGCAGCTACCAATGCTCGAAGGGGGAGTTAGCTTTGAGAGGATTCAGGAGCAGTTAGGATCTAGGTAGAGATAGGATAGAGCCATGAATGAATGCTATTAATCTCGGCTCCTATTGCACAATGAGGTTTTCAAATACGAAATACATGAAGGAATTTCCCATACCGAAATGAAACGAAGAGTGAGGAATAGGGAAACTGGCCTCATTCACTAGGTATGTGATTAATCTAGCAATAGGTCTAGCGATATACGGGAGTAACGATGAATCAGCGAACTAATATACAACGACACCTCTTATAAACTATTTAGGTTTTAGCCACAAGTAGCTGGGATATAGCTACGATGCTTACCGGCCGTTTACGAACTAATATCGCCTGATGGTCGGACGCCTACTAGTCGGGGTGGTGGGCTCTACTAGCAGCCAAATCCCTGAAGATGTTTATAGAGTACCTTGGAACAACAATGCAAAGAGCAATTAGACAATTTTCTAAGCATATAGTTTATTTACGCATAAGTTAAGCAGCGCATCAAATACCCAAGCATGTATTCATTATCTTAACACCGCAAAGCGGTTAACACTAGATAACCCCTCTTCGGAGATAGGATATAGGGCTCCACACTTGATGCCAAAGCACCCCAGTGTGTCGCCGCTACGTACAGAGTATTGTTTCGGCTCTGTGTGACTATTTCGCCGCCCTTTTCTTCTCTGTTTCACAATTACGTCACTGTGTTTTACTCAGCGTATATACTTACTACGATCTATAGTCTATTATGCAGACGTCAGAATGCAGGAAAAGATTCCACCGGCCCACAAAGTGCGCCACACTGAGGTCGGCATCATGCTGTTATGCTATAAATGGAGTGAGACACCCACCGTAAAACTCGATATGTGGCAGAAAGCAATACGGAACTAGTCTCTATCTTCACCTACGCAGATACAGATACAGACAGGGACATGGATTTTCAATGTGCTTTAATTACCGGTGGGGGAGGCGGCATCGGCAAGGCACTGGCACAATACTTCATCTCTCAGGGCAAGAAAGTCATTATTGTCGGCCGGACCGAGGCCAACTTACGGGCGACCTGCCAAGAAATCGGGGCCGCCGCCTACTACGTCCTCGACACCGGCAATGTGTCCGAGATCCCGGCCTTCGTTCAGCGGGTGATCTCCGAGCATCCGGATCTTGACTGCCTAGTTAATAATGCGGGGGTACAACGGCCTCTGAGCGTCATAGATACGATGCCTGAAGAGTTCTTGCAAAAGGCCGATGAAGAGATCAATATTAATACGCGCGGACGTGAGTTTCTTGTCAATCTATACTAGAGTATAAGTGCTAACTATACTTCCCAGCAATGCACCTCGCACTTCACTTCCTAAGCCACTTGAGGCAGAAGCCGCACGCTGTGATCATGAATGTGTCCTCAGTGTTGGGACTCTCCCCCTTCTCGCTTGTCAACCCAGTGTACAATGGGACAAAAGCCTGGCTCCACTTCTGGAGTATCAACCTTAGGTACGAAGAAGCTATTAGACATGTAAGGCTCAGTCTAACTAATGATTTTTATTCTGCAGGGCCCAGCTAGAAGGAACAAACGTTAAGGTTATTGAAATCGTCCCACCGACTGTTGCAACAGATCTACACCGGGAGCGGGAGGATCCAGATGACAACAAGAAGACGAGCAACCCCAATGCGCTAACGGTAGATGAATTCATCGCTGAGATAGGCAAGCCACTTGAGAACGCTCAGGAGACGATCGGCGCAGGCATGGGGGTGGGTCTTGTGGACGATTGGGATAAATCCATGGGCTCTGTCTTCAGGAAGTTGAAGAAGTAGAGATATCATCTTGATCGTGGGCACTCTGTAACCTCAGCCAACTTGATGGACTTCACGTTGAACAGGATCAATTCTGAGAATTATAATATATCCAATTTGTTTAATCCTATCGCATCATATTAGTGTTTACCCTCGTTGCCGCTGGTTGGGGTTGCCAAGCCACACAAGCCACACATCGTGTGGCTTGTCTTACCGCGCAAATTTGCGCAGCATCGCAGAACTCTTCGAGGCCCAGAAGGATATGTGATACAATAAGTACTCCATATATTTAGCTAAAACGACTATGTATACCTCGTCACAGCGGTTTCCAATCATCCGACTTATTGGATAATAAATTTACCAATCATGCATGAAAATGCGGTGCCTGTGCAATTAAACACATCATTTCTAGCATCACCAACAAGTAATACTATCGCGGAATCGTAGTACATGCATACCTCTCCTGTCATGGAGAAATACATTTCATGGGAAGAGCCTATCGTATAGCTGAACAATGTATTATTCTACTAATTGCTTAACATTCTAATATATAACTTACTGAGAGGAAGGAATTTGCATATGCACCCTTGTGCATCCAGGTCCTCGGTTCGACAAAGTTTTACTTGTGCCGTTTTTAAACGTTCGGCTTACATCCAGATGGGACCCGTAGCTCAGCGGTCAGAGCATCTGATTCCAGCTTGTAACCTTTACTAGCAATGGAGTAATCCACTCCAATAAATAGTAAATGCAACTGTATCCAGAAGGTCATCCGTTCAAATCGGGTCGGGTTCAATTCCTTGGTCTCATCGCTCAATTACTTTTTTCTTCCCGTTGAAAGTTTTTAGCGTTCAGGCTTTTTTGATTAGCGCACCGTAGCGCAGCAGACGCAGACAACGAACGACAACCGTGAAAATCCCTGCCTAGTAATTACCCGGATACATGCATGCCCCACCAAGAAATGAGAAGTCACTTAGTATTTAGCCCTATGTAAATAGCCGAGTAAGACGGGCTTCCCCAGTTGGAATCCTTCTCAACGATCAACCAAATTCTAGTACTAGATCCTACTTGTAGGTAACCTGAAGGCACATGCACTTGCTTTTCGTACTATGTGTATCTACGTGAGTTCAACTATATTCAACGGCGGGGTTGGAACATGGGACCGTAGCAAGAGGATTTCCGATCCTCACTCAGTTGCGGATTCCCTTAGGCCAATGACTGCGAATGATGATCATGTCTTCATGATTGACTGATATTTTAGTTTAAGCATAAGCGATAAGGCGTGTTAAAAAGCGCACCTGAGGCCCAATCAACCCCACGAAGAGACGACTTGGCTTAGGGATGACTATCTCGCGATGGTTATTTGTCATGATAAAATGAAGGGACTCGGTTTATTTCATCCCGTGATTAAAGCCCCTCCAAGACAAACAAACGCCTATTTTCAGTAACAGGCTTGACTTTCAAAATGATGGGTCTGAAATTCAGGTTCCATCTTCACTGTATTGGATGGATGTATGGTCTTTTCCTATGAGAAAGACTAATCTCGGGCCGGCTTTCATCCACTTTCCGCCAAGAAAAGACAATACCCAGCCATATTTACACGTCGTAGATAGAATGGAGTGTCTCATTTGGGAAGGTTCAGCTCGCCCAGATGATCTTCAGTGAGTGGTACGGAAGCGCGCGGAAGCGGCTGTGCAGTGCGGGCGCAGATCTCTGGAGGTGGGTGACGTTACATTAAATTTCCATTTTAAGAACAAAGAAGCGCTGCAATTGGCCGACTGAGCCGCCGGCAAACGCGTTGCCGATTTGTCGACAAACTAGATCGATCTACGTATATTGTGTGGCTGTGGCTGTGCACCCGTCTGCAATATGTCATTCCATCCAATCTCCTAGATGGGATGTTTACTGTCACCTTGCGTGCGGTGGAATCCCTTTCTGCATCCCTTTCCCACGGCGAGAGTGGGGCCTGTCGGTGTATCTGCGCAAGCTGCCTCCCTGCTGTCCGTATTATTGCGCCCAGTATGGGTGACAGCAGTTCGTCGGATGTCAGTATTTCCCGTCCAAGGACCAGGTCTGCGCTGACATACCGGGTGGTATTGGTCCACGCCACCATAAGGCTGTAATGAGCTCTCATTGTTTATCGTGTCAACACACCGCTGCTCACTTACCAGTGGCTCGTCCCAATCTATTTTGGCATCGGCTGCGATGAAGCCGAGAGACACGCGCGTTTGCTTCTTTATCGCGCCGCCCTTGTTGAGTGCTATACACTGCCACTCCAGATAGAAGTAATATTTTCTATCACCAGAGTTTCCATCTCCTTGGGAATCAGATATCGTATAAAGGTCGACGTTAGGAACCACGAGGCATCAGATCATTACCACCACACCACCACCACTACCACAGCACAGCATCCATCATCTGATACTCTCGCATACAATACATTACGCATATAACTGATATCATCTCACTTGATATACTCTACTCACTCCTCGACCACAAGATCTGATATCCTATCATCTACCAATCAAAAACCAACAATCAAAATGCAGTACTCTATCGCTACTATTGTTTCTATCGTCCTCGCCTGTGCCTCTCCCCTGGCACAAGCTCTGCCTGCGAACCTCGAATCGCGGGCCACAAACCAGCAGCTCGCTGACGCGCAGAACCAATGGCGGGCGGATACCGCCAGGGTGTCTCAATTCCTGTCCGCCGTGCCCACGCTCTCGGGCTCCGCGCTCCAGTCCGCAGCCTCGGCCGCCCTCGGCTCCGAGAACGACGAGCTTCTGCACAAGAAGGTCATCGACGGCGCTTTCGGATCCAACCCGGACATCGTCGGCGCGAACAACGTCCTGGTCAACGAAGGCACCTTCCAGGCTGTCGTGAACGCGCTCGCGGAGTTGGCCAACAACGGCGCCAACATGTCGCCGAGCCAGATCTCCACCCTGCTCCAGCAGACGAACAATGTCCGCTGCGGCAAGGTCCTGCCTGCTATTGATACGTACTTCCACGTCGTTGGGGAGGTGCTGCAGAATGGCGGCTTCGAGGTTGCCACGCGACCTAACAACTGCTAATCCGACTGGTCTTACGGAATGGGGTTTCATAGATCACTTGGGATTGGTGGAGAGACGGTTAGATTATCACTTTCACAAGTTCGAAGGGGTCCGTCGGGTTTAATGAAACTCTCTTAGCATTGTCTTGCAGGAAAATGTTGGACACGGTTGCACTCATTATTGGCTAGGGGACTTGGTTTGGGGGGTGGGCATAGGAGGCGTTGCCTGATGATTTAATTGCTATTCAATATAATTGTTATACATTTTAATGGTCAAACTCACCTGAGACTTGTGAATAATCGTATGCCCATGCATCACATCGTAATATTTCAAGCATATCGCCCTCATGAATGCCCCTATATTCATAATGCGGAAGATCAGCTTCTTGGATATATTGTCAGAAGGGCTTGAATAAGGCTTGGATTCTAAGACTCAATTAATGTAATAAATTGCCATGGCTTCAAGGCTTCTCGTGAGTCTTCTTCGCAGTTCCAGGAGGTCTACGCGGTGCCTGTCACGAGCCCTATACTTATGGGTACTTAGGTAATAGACTACGTTGCACAAGGGTCTCTAAAACACCTTCCTACGTACTACCTACTATATACACAAGCCTTGTAACTTCACTCTTCTTGCCAGAGGGGTTGGTCACAGAGTGGATAGGGCGCTAGCCGACGGCTGGAAAGAAATATAGTACAGGGCTCAATGGAGGAACCAATTGATTCCTAAACCTCCCACGTCTATAGGGGGGACCTGGCACCTGTATATATAGCCGTATCCAAGGAAATATAACGACCCTACGGGTTGGTTATAAAGTCGCCTGACACTTCTGGTAACCTGATTTAGCCCTGATGATCTTACCGCCTATTACTACTCTCCGGCTTCCTGCTGGCCCTCATCTAAATTCTCCCGAAATATCATACGATTATTCTGTAAGTTTGTGAGGGAGCTGAAGACCTTGTGTGGCCGAGTGGTTTGTGTAGCCGGGCTCTGATCAATTTGGTCCCAGCAGTATGGGTCAGGTCGCTAGGTGTAACACATCCTGTGGGAGTCTTTTTTTTTAGGTAAGGGGGGGGGGGGGTGGCTCCTAGAATAATGGTAGTAGCATCGTGATTTCACCTCAAAAATAGTACATAGAGTTCAAGCTATCATGGGTTGATTCCTTTTTAGATCCTATGACAGGTAACTAAAGCGAGCATAGTAGAAACTCGACAACGAGGAAAAAAAAAGGACTGACTGCACACCTTGAATTAAAGTCCACTGACACAGTTTTGAAGGATTCGCTCCACATATTAGCCAAACCCAAGCTGCCGAAAAGTATAACAAGTGGAATAGATATTCTCCTTTTCTTTTCCGTTTTTTTTTTCCCTTTTTTCTCCTAAACGAGTTTACAGTTACCCAGCTATCACAAGGCCTATACGTAGGGATAAGTAATAGTATACATTGTTGCACGAAGGTCTCCCAAATACCCTCCTACGTACTATTACTATATACAAAACAATCTCTTTGTTCCAAGACTATGACACCAGCCTAACATATCAGGCAATCAAAAAGTGTTTATGATCTTCTCATGATCAAGACCAACAATAGTGGCACACCCGGCATTGTCATTGGACCCAGTGGTAATCGTACGGGCTTCGGCATCCCTCCCGAGCTCACGCTTGTCGACCCTTTGCCACTAAGCACACAGGAGTCACCGAAAGACGAACGGAGATGTCGCATTGGTAACTATTGTTGTAAGCTGTTTTGGGCCGGCGGCGTGACTTGACGCTGAGCTTAACATTGTAGCCGGGTTGGGTTGCGAGAAGAATTTGAGAAGATTGAACAAGCGTCTTGACTGGTACGGGAGCGTCAGGTCGAAGTTTCTGGTCTTTGGCACGGACATTACTGAGATCCCTTACATTGGAAAGTCAGTGATAATAATATATTGCCTGTATTAAAGTAGTAATGTTATAAGGAAGCCCGCACCAAGGTTGACCCGGGTTTATGTTCACGAATATCATATCATCAGAGGTCATGATCATAGTAGCATCCAAAAAATCAAAGACCATAGCACCGGATGGACCCGCTTCCTCTTCGGGTTTCCCGGCACCGAAGGAGATCCAGGGAATGAATCCGAAGCCACCATTCCCGATCCATCTGAATGGTTAAAATCGGAGTTGCCGACAATTCGACACTCACTGACCCTGAATACCGACTCATTGCTCACTGGTACATTATAGTGCCCTTATGACTCCACCCTTCTGGTGACTTTGCTCGACTTTGCAGACTTTCTCGCTTATTCTCGCCTTCCTGCGCGTTGTTTACCCTGATCTAGGGCCTCCTGAGACCTCGTTTCGTTGCTTAATTATTCTGCAGGCTTGATAGGAAGCTGGAGACCTTGTATAGCCGAGCAGCTGTATAAGCCGGTTCTCCGATCCTATCAGTTGAGATCTACTGGGATGGAGCAGGTCAGTGTATATAACACATAACTACAGAGAGATGCTCCAGAATACGCGCAGCTATGCTCAAGAATTAGATAATAGAGTCGATGAAGCCATAACAGTCCGTAACGCATAGGATAGTCGCAACGGTCATAGCGTCAACTATAGAATCAACCCATGGCAATCATAATAGATGTTGATTAGAAATCTAAAACACAAAGCCTAACTGGTAATTGGTTTTAGTCATCTATAGTAGTGCGGAGCAACCACCTCGGTATTGATACGCCAACTGAGTAAAGGGATAGCTATATATAGAAATGACAGA